AAAAAACTAAAAAAATTCACTGACTGAAGAAAAGCATTTATTACTTGGAACAAGCCAAAATACTTGCCAATTGTTACAAAATGAGCATGACAAATGACCATTTCACTTCTTGTTTTCCACACTTACTTCAGGACTGGGCCAGAATACAATACGAAGGCTTTTTTTTATTATTCTTTCACAGGATTTAGCCATCACTGGCTGTCCATCCCTAATTGTTCTCAAAGGTGGTGGCAAAATGTCTTCTTGAACTGCTGCAGACCTTGGGGTGTAGGCACACTCACAGTGCTGTTAGAGAGAGTTTTGACGATTTTGACCCAGTGGCAGTGAAGGAACAGTGATAGTTTCCAAGTCGGATGGTGTGCGGTATGGAAGGGATTTGCGGGTGATGGTGTTCACATGTTTCATCTGCCCTCGTGCTTCTAGGTGGGAGAGGTCACTGGTCTGGGAAGTGTGGACTTATTTTGATGAAAGCTCTGATCAGACTGCATTGGGATTATTATGTTCTTTTCAGGGACTCCACCCAAGCATTGGTGCCTGTGAATTACAGCACAGATTAACCAGGATGGTACAGGGACTAAAAGGGTGTACTCCCTTGAGTATGGAAAATTAGGAGAGTCAACATAAGTAAAGTGTTAAAGATGATTAATAGATTAATGGAGCAGATGAAGAGAAACTATGTCTTGGTTCAGGTAAGACCAGAAGAACAGGGCATGACATTCAAAGTAGAGCCAAGCCATTCAGGGGTGATGTCAGGAAGATGAATTAGTAACCCACAGAGCCAAGTGAACAAGGGCCACAGGGTCAAATCCCATCAGGGCAGCCAGTTCAATTTGAACTCAATTAATAATATATCTGGAATTGAAAGCTAATTTCAGTAACAACAGCTATGAAACTACCAGCGTTTGTAAAAACCCATCTGGGGGCTGTCTTACCTAGTCTGACCTACTCATGACTCCAGATGCATGATAATGTGGTTGACTTTTAATTGCCCTCGGAAATGGCCAATCAAGCCAATCAGTTCAAGAGGCACTCAGGACGGGGCAACCAAAGCTGACTTTCCCAACAATGCCCACATCCCATCAAAGATGAAGCTAAAAGCATATCGGAGATCTGGAACTGTCTCCCCTCCAAAGAATTTTGTTGAGGCTACAGTCCATTCAAGATTTCAAAACAAAGACTGATGTAATCTTAGGAGGCAGAAGTGCAAAAGCATTGAGCTATCTGGAACCAACATCAACTTGGATTTATATACTGTCTACAGGGAGAGCTTGCTACTGGATACAAAATTGGCTTGACGGTAGGAGATAGAGGGTGGTAGCAGATGGTTGTTTTTCAGGCTGGAGGCCTGTGACCAGCGGTGTTCCGCAGGGATCGGTGCTGGGACCATTGTTGGTTATCATTTATATAAACAATTTGGATGGGAATTTAGGAAGCACAGTTTGTAAGTTTGCGGATGACACCAAAATTGGTTGTATTTTCGCCATTGAAGAATATTATCTAAGATTACAAAAGGATCTTGATCAATTGGGCCAATGGGCTAAGGAATGACTGATGGGGTTTAGAGATAGTAGGAACTGCAGATGCTGGAGAATCCGAGACAACAAGGTGCAGAGCTGGATGAACACAGCAGGCCAAGCAGCATCATAGGAGCAGAAAGGCTGACGTTTCGAGAAGGGTCTAGGCCTGAAACGTCAGCCTTTCTGCTCCTATGATGCTGCTTGGCCTGCTGTGTTCATCCAGCTCTGCACAGATGGAGTTTAGTTTGGATAAATGCAAGGTATTGTATTTTGGTAAGGCAAACCAGGGTAGGGCTTGTACAGTTAATAGTAGGGCCACAGGTAGTGTTGTTGAACAGAGATCTAGGGTTTTAGGTGCTTAGTTCTTTGAAAGTTGCATCACAGGTGGTTAATAAGACATTTAGCATGCTTGCCTTCATTGCTCAGACCATTGAGGATAAGAGCTGGGATGTCATGCTGAGGTTGTACAGACATCGGTGAAGCTTCTTTTGGAGCACAGTGTACAATTCTTGTCAGCCTGTTATAGGAAGGATATTTTTAAATTGGAGAAGGTTCAGAAAAGACTTACTAGGATGTTGTCAGAACTGGAGGTTTTGAGTTATAAGAATAGGCTGGGACCTTTTTCACTGGAGCATAGGAGGTTGAGGGGCAACCTTATACAGGTTTCTAAAATCATGAGGAGCATTGGTAAAGTGAATAGCGAAGGTCTTTTGCTCAGGGTGGGTGAATTAAAAACAAGGGGGCATATTTTTAAGGTGAGAGGAGAAAGATTTAAAGGGGACCCAAGGGGCAACTTTTTCACACAGTGTCGTTCGTATGTGGAATGAACTGCCAGAGGAAATGGTAGATGCAGGTACAGTTACAACATTTAAAAGAAATTTGGATAGGTACATGAATAGGAAAGTTTTAGGGGAATATGAGCCAAATTCAAGTGCATGGGACTCATTTAGTTTAGGAAACTTGGTCAGCGTGGATGAGTTGGACCGAATGGTCTGTTTCCATGTTGTATGACTATGAGCTTTCTTGAACAAAATGTGATACTAAGGCACATGAAAAGATAGTAGGTGGGATGATTGAAGCTTGATTGGGAATGTCTTCGAGAAGGTAAAAGCAGAAGAGGTGTTTATAATGAAGGAACTTCAGGGCTGAGGGAACATGGGTTTTAATCACATGTCCATTAGCAACCATGCCAATGTTCAACAGAAGGCCATCATTGAAGGAGTACAGAGTGCTGGGAGGGCATAGGGCTGGAAAAGTTGCAGACTGAAAGGATTTGAAAACAAGGAGGATGAAGCTTTAAAGGAAAAGGATTTAAACTGTATTCAGTGTGGTTTTCCCAGCAGCGAATTGCTCAAGTTTTTCCAGCTGACCCACAGTCCCCATCTCCTTGAACTTGGCTAATTGACTTTGTATGGAATTTTGTCAAATACATTTTGGGAGTCTGTGTTTATAGGTTTTTCAATGACATCTTGAGCTCAATAAAGCCAAATACATTGCTCAGAAAGACATCAACCTTTTGAATACATCCAGACTGCTTTTCTTTTCATATGATGCACATAATCCTCAAATTTGTGTGAGAGGCAAAGAGAGAATGAAAGAAGAGACAAACAAGGAGAGAATTGTTTTGAGAGAGAGTTGCAGAATGGATTTCACAAGCTTCAAAATCTCCCCTCCCCCTACCGCATCCCAAAACCAGTCCAGCTCGTCCCCGCTTCCCTAACCTGTTCTTCCTCCCACCTATCCCCTCCTCCCACCTCAAGCCGCACCCCCATTTCCTACCTACTAACGTCATCTCGCCCCCTTGACCTGTCCGTCCTCCCTGACTGACCTATCTCCTCCCTACCTCCCCACCTACACTCACCTTTACTGGATCCATCCCCGCCTCTTTGACCTGTCTGTTTCCCCTCCACCTATCTTCTCCTCTATCCATCTTCTATCCGCCTCCCTCTCTCTCCCTATTTATTTCAGAACCCCGTTCCCCTCTCCCATTTCTGATGAAGGGTCTAGGCCCAAAACATCAGCCTTTCTGCTCCTGTGATGCTGCTTGGCCTGCTGTGTTCATCCAGCTCTACACCTTGTTGTCTGAGAATTGTTTTGTATTGTCCACCGTAATCTCACATGACATTACCTGGAATGCTACAAGGTCATAGTGTTGTACAACATGGAAGGAGACTATTCAGTCCGTCATTTATTTGAAAGGGTTATCCAACTGATCCCACACCCCTGCTCTCTCTCTTTCTTGTAGGCTGGGGAAATCAGCACGTTTGACTGCTAACGGCATTGATCGAAGGTCAGGATTAGATTGTATTTTTGACAGAATAAGGCAGAGTGATAATGGTTCCACAAACAGATGAAATTCTGAATGAGGGAGGTGAAATATACTATACTGACTGTATTCTATAAAATATGAATTTCTATAGAGAGTGGTAGATCTGGTAAGGGCTGGGGCAGTTAGATGAAGATTTACCCCCTGCATCTCCCATGAGGTAGGATAAATAACATTTTCTTTCAAGAATGCATCATGTAACCCTCAGAAAAGTGCACTCACCACTGATTTGGCCTCTTGAAGATTGTCTAAAGCCAAGTCCACTTCTGGAAGTTAACAATATAAGAACTAAACAAACTTAAAAAGCAAACACATCACAACACCTTGCACAAACAAAAACTTAGGCCCTTGCCATTCATCAAGCTGTGATTCTGAGATTGGCAGTATAAAAATCGGAAATCAAATTGATAACTTCCACGCCAGCTGTAATGCATATATTACAGCCACAAGGGGGAACTGAATTGGTCTTGCCTGGGCTGGGATTGTCTCATATAATATGGAGGTGCCATTATTGATAGAATTTGGTCGATTTGATCTTTGAGGATGGATTTGATTCCCTGACGGGGTTGGAGATCAATTTTCCAGCATATTTTCCCTTATTAATCCTGTTTTCCAACAACACCCCCCCACCCACCCCATATCAGGTAATTATACAATTATGGGCAAGAAAGGAGAGGGTTGGAAAGAGGGGTATTATGTTTAATCATGATGTTCAGCCATCCTGAATGTGGGCCAGATTTGACAACATTATGCAACATTAGACTTGAATCAGCATGGAACTCAAAGACCTTATTATTTATGTCTTTATTTACCTTTGGCCTAATACGTAATCGTAATGGTTATTTTGATCTAGTGACACAGATAGTATTCTAGATAAACATAAATGTCAACTTAAAACAATACATGCAATATTTGAATTATACAAAACCAAAATACTGTGGGGGGTGCTGAAGAACAGAAAAAAGACAAAGTGCTAGAGAAGTCTAAGGAAAGGACAACAGTTAACAATAAATTCAATAGGACTCTTCTTCTGAACCATAGTTTTCATCACTATCTATCTTCAGCTTATCTTATAGAGAGGACATAGCATTTATATTATACTGAATACCAGATTTCCATTCAATTACATTTCATGCTAGAAGATATGATGAACTTACCATCAAGCCTGCTAGGATTTTCCATCCTAAGTGGGACAATTGCCCTGATGGAAGCTCCGAGTTGCCCGTTCCTACTCAATATCCGTTCCTTGTTCATGGTCTAATGAAAGAAGATTAGAAGACTGACATTAGTATATCATCATCGCTCACATCCAGCTCCCAGACTTATATAAATGATAAATTACTTTGAAATCCAGTTTCTGTGGCCATAGATTGAAGTTGTTTTGTACAATGTTCGAGGATGAGCTAAAAACATTAAATTATTCTTTTCCTTCAGTGGCGTTGTTTGAAAAAACAATGCTGCCAAAGACATCAACTAGTACTTACCAAGCACAATCCTGAATGAACAACTGAAGCCTCAGTTAAATGTCTCACTCAACAATGTACACACCCATGACCTGTTGCTCTACAATTTGTGCTGGTGTCTTAACAAGCTTTCAGGATCTTTGCACTCCTATAGTTCTGACTTTTTGCACACAAACAATTCTTTTCATTTTTAAACTGGCAGCCGTGGACCCAGTCATTGAGGCTCCAAGCTCTAGAAATCCCTTGCAGAATGCCTTTGCCTCGTTCTCCTCCATTAAGTTGCTCAAAACCCTAATTCTGTCCTAATAGTTCCTCATGTAGCATGGTATCAAATTTTGACTGATAATATACCATGTGCTGTTTTATGACATTAAATATCTGATAAATATGCAAGCTGCTTTTAAATCGCAAACAAAAAAGCAAAGCAGACATCCGAATAAAGAGTAGATTTTTATCAAGTTGAAGATAATTAAAATAATATTCATGGGAGGCATTCCTCAAGTTTTAAACATTAGAAATTACATTTTATTCATAGCTTTCACAATAGAGAATATATAATCACAAATTATAAAAAAGATTGCATTGATCAGTCTAAGAGCCAGGTTTAACCAGAATTGGACACAATTGACTTGACGATAGGAGACAGAGATTACTGGTAGAGGGCTGTTTTTCAGACTGGAGGCCTGTAACTAGTCGTGTCAGACAAGGATCGGTGCTGGGTCCACTCCTTTTTGTCATTTATATAAATGATTTGGATGTGACTATAGGGAGGTATGCTTAGGTTTGCAGATGACACCAAAATTGGTGGTATAGTGGACTGTAAAGAAGGCTGTCTCAGAGTACAAAGGGACTTTGATCAGATGATCTAATGGGCCGAGGAGCAGCAGATAGAGTTCAATTAAGATAAATTTTGGTAAGGCAAACTGGGGCAGGACTTACAGTTAATGGTAGGGTCCTGGGGAGAATTATTGAACATAGAGGCCTAGGTGCATAGTACCTTGCAGCTAGACAGGGTGGTGAAGACAGCATTTGGTATGCTTGCCTTCATTGTTCAGTGTGTTGAGTATAGGAGTTGCGATGTCTTGTTGTGACTGGACAGGACATTGGTGCGGCCAACTTTCTAGAATACTGCGTTCCCTGCTATACGAAAGCTGCTGTTAAACTTGATGGGGTTCAGAAAAGATTTACAAGGATGTTGCCAGGGTTGGTGGGTTTGATTTACAGGGAGAGGCTGAATAGGCTGGGGCTTTTCTCCCTGGAGTGTCGGAGGCTTACAAAATCATGAGGAGCATGGATAGAGTGAATAGACAAATTCTTTTTCCCAGGCTAGGGGAGTCCAAAACTATTCGGGCATAGGCTTAAGGTGAGAGTGGAAAGATTTGAAAAGGACCTGAGGGGCAACATTTTCATGCAGAGGTTGGTGTGTGTATGGAATGAGCTGCCAGAGGAAGTGGTGGAGGTTGGTACAGTTACAACATTTAAAAGGCATCTGGATGGGTATATGAATAAGAAGGGTTTAGAGGGATATAGGCCAAATGCTGGCAAATTGGACTAGATTAATTTAGGATATCTGGTCGGTGCGGACAGGATTGACCAAAAGGTCTGTTTCCGCGCTGTAAAACTCAATGACTCCGCTGCAACATTGTATGTGGTATTGTGATGTGCCTCGCTACACTCGCAATTGCAGGTTCTATTTTCAATATGCATGTACAGTTCACGTCAAACATTCTTCGGTGCATTCAGCTCATTTTCCACAGGGTCCAGCCCTTTGATTTCGGACAGCAGGACCGCCTTAAAGAGTGGCTTTTCACCACTGAACCTTTGCAGTGGCCGTCCAAGTTTTAATGTGTCCTTCAGCAAGTCGTCCTGAACCTTGGAGCATGACAGTCTGCAACATGAGGCCGTCAACAGCTCCATCATTAGGAGGCCAGCAAAACTTGGGCAGATCAAAAGACATCTTTCACTCAGTTGATGGTCCTCCAGCAGTAAGTTATATTTGTTCTGGTTCTCCGTCCCTGGGATAGGACGGTAAATCACTGAATTCAGTGTGACAGGGTGCCAGTTCCTCTATCGGACTTGAATGCAGAGTTTTCTGTTAACCTCTGTGCCACCAACTGAGCCACAGCTGACACTTGGACAGCTAGGGTAAACAACATTCCCATCCATCAAACTGATCATAAAGGTCAGATACAGCTGAGCTTCTAGCGTCTCTCAGGATGATTAAGAATCTGAATGCTCAGATCAAAAAAAAATATGCAGTTAAACGCCCAACACCTCTGACTGGTCGCTTAAAATTGGTTCTGTGAACTTGCTATCCCCAGGGTTGAAACAAGTTCACTTTGTAATCTGGTATGCAAAACAACTTTGAAAATGCACCATTTTATACATGCACAGTTGGTCTGAAAAGTCGTTCAAAACCACTTGACACAGTTTGTTGATTTTGCCTGGAAATGTGTCAAATTCAGGCACATTGCTGGGTAATACATTTAACAGGGCTCATATCAGGGGACAACTCGGTTATTTTAATTATCTTCAACTCTGGATGCACATCCTTGGTTTGCCAAATCGACATGCTACACCAGCATCAACAATTTGCATTTATACAGCACCATTCACCTTTGGAATAAAATCTAGCGCTAACACAGTATGCCTTTATTTTGAGGGGGTTGGAGTCTTACTGTAACTGTACAAGGTGCTGGTGAGACCTCATCTGGAGAACTGTCAGCAGATTTTGTCCCCTTATTTAAGTAAAGGTATCATTTCATTGGAGGCAGTTCAGTGGAGGTTCACTAGGCAGAGGCTAAACAGGTTGGGACTCTACTCACTGGACTTTAGAAGCATGAGAGGGGACTTCAGTGAAACATGTAGGATTTTTAAGGGTAGGACTTAAGGGTAAATGCTGAGAGGATGTTTCCCCTCACGAGAGAGTCTAAGAGAGGAGGGCATAGTCACAGAACAAAGGGCTGCCAATTTAAGACTGAAATGAGGAGGAATTTCTTTCCTCAGACATTAAGTGTCTTTGGAACTCCTTGCCACAGGGAGCTGTGGGTGCGGTGTCTTTATGCATATTGAAGGCTGAGATGAATAGATTCTTGATCAGTTGGGGAATCAAGGCTTATGGGGAAAATGCACGAAAGTGGATATAAGGAATGTTGGATCAGTCGTGATCCTATCGAATGGCATGGGATGCTTATTCCTCAGCCATTTGAATTTGAGGAGGTCATGAGAGAGATGTGTCCTACTTTTGTGTCATGAGTTGAGATAGATTACCTTAGATTCAAGGTCTCAAAATGTTCCAATGGATTATTCCTCACTTCCCGTACCCTGAACTGTTCCTTTACTTGCCTAATCACAAGATAATCTGTGCCAATCCCAGGGATCAAATAGAAAACTTTAGATACTGGCCTATTATGTAACATGCCCTCATGCGATATTACCTAATTTAAAAAGGAGCTAGAATAAAAACTTGGAACAATTAAATTCAGGGATGTGCACAGGACCAGAATTGGAAGAATGAGCATTCTCAGAGAGTTCAAGGACCGGAGGCGGTTACAAACATTGGGAAAAATGAGGGATTTGAAAGAAAAGATATGAATTTGAAAATCTAGGAAGGATCTGAAGCATATGAGGCTTGTAATAATCAAATATGTTCAGTTTGCATCACGACACATCCATGGGCTGCTAAATGCTTTGGAATACTGTGCCTGATGTTTGTGAGCCTTTCTTCCTATCCATTTGTGCCCAGGGCATTATTGACTGCTCCCAATCACATCTGTTTGCATAACCCTGGTCACCTGACACAGGCCCAGCTCAAACAAGTCGCAGACGTGCCAATGAACCAAGAAAAGTCACAGGCAGCTATAGGCCTCTTAAGTGTGGCATGAGAGATTGGTACTTAAGGCACCCAATTCAGACCAACCAAAATATTCGAACTGGACTGGACGAGGAAGGGGCAGAAATTATTAAATGATTAATTATTAATATGGGGCGGCACGGTGGCTCAGTGGTTAGCGCTGCTGCCTCACAGCACCACGGACCCGGGTTCGATTCCACCCTCAGGCGACTGTCTGTGTGGAGTCTGCACATTCTCCCTGTGTCTGTGTGGGTTTCCTCCGGGTGCTCCGGTTTCCTCTCACAGTCCAAAGATGTGCAGGCTAGGTGGATTGGCCATTCTAAATTGCCCATAGTGTTCAGGGATGTGTAGATTAGGTGGATTATAGGGGGATGGGTCTGGGTGGGATGCTCTGAGGTTCGGTGTGGAAATGTTGGGCCGAAGGGCCTGTTTCCACACTGTAGGGATTCTATGATTCTATGAAACATAAGGAGGTATACTTGCAATTCTTCAGTCTGCCCCACAACCCCCACGGATTTCCCTGACAGTGGGGTTTCAGGGATGAGCATCACACCACCCTCTAATGGGAGCCCTTGCACTGCCCGACAATTACTGGAGAGATCAATGAAGTTGGGAAGATTGGGTGCTTGCTCAAAGTAGATGCAAGCTACAGTCCAACCTACTGCGCCCTCCCTTCTTCACTAGTGATCCAGAGATACAGTTCGCCCTCCTTTTAACAATGTGTGCTCTTTAAAAAAATGAGTATTCCCCAGTGGAGTGGATGAAAATTAGGAATCCTTCTTAATCTTCTGCCTTTTACTTTGGGGTTGCTAGGCTTTTGTCACATAGTCCACATAAATGCTCAACATAGCCTCAGGAGCACATCCGGGCAGTAGGGGGTTTGGGGAAGAATCTCCCAATTATCAATTAAAGAAAAACTGGGAGAGATGTAACATGGGCTGCACATTTAATTATTCACCTGTTTTATAAGATCAGGAGAAACAGAAGAGTAGTAGGTCTCTCGAGTCTGTTCCTCCATTCAATGAGATCATGACTGATCTAATTGTGGCCATTACTCCATTTCCTACCTGCCCCGCCCCCACCATAGTTCTTGACTTCCTTGTGGATCAAAAATCTGTCCAGCTCAGCCTTGAATATCTTCAATGACACAGCCTCTACTGCTTCTTGGGAAGAAAAGACTAAAAGCCAATGGAGAGATGAAATGCCTCCCCATCCCAGTCTTAAATGTGACGTACCATATTTTAAAGCAGTGTCCTCCAATCGTCCACAAGGGGAAAGCATTCTTTCAGCATCTACCCTGGTGATTCCCATAGCATCAAGAAACACTGTTGAACACCTTTTACATTCCCCATAGCATTTAAATCTTCACTTCAAAAGTTTGGTGGAACCAGATCTCAAGGTCCTGGTTTAAGATTGATCCCACAAGTGAGGCACTAGCTCTTTCTAAGCTCCTTGACCCCAAAAATCATCAGGATAATAAATATAAATGAAAATTAAGACATCATGGGTGGGGCTTTGAGGGATATATTGTTGATGCTTTGAGTTGTAGGTAGTCCTCAGATTACAGAGCCCTGATTGATATGGATTTTTTAAATTATTCACTCTTGGGACGTGGGCATCACTGGCTCGGCCAGCATTTAATACCCACCCCTAATTGCCTTGAGAAGACGGTGGTGAGCCGCTTTCTTGAACTGCTTTAGTCCACTTGTTGTAGTTAGACCCCCCCAATGTTGTTAGGGAGCGAATTCCAGAATTTTAACCCAGCGACGCTGAAGGAACACTTGAATATTTTTCCAAGTCAAGATGATGAGTAGCTTGGAGGGGAACTTGCAGGTGATGATATTCCCATTTATCTGCTGTCCTTGTATTCTGATCATGGGTTTGGAAGGTGCTGACTACGGATCTTTAGCAAAACTATTTATCAGATAAAACAGTTAGGATTTTCGTCCACACAAATAATTCCATTCTCAGACATTGGCCTTGTAAAGAAAAGTCAGTCAGTCTCCATTTTAAAAACCTTGTTCACCTCAAAACCATTCACAGCCTTCTTATCTTCCAGGTATACATCGAACTATCAAGAGAACTGCCAAGTTAAGGTTCTATTTTCAAGGCTCAAAAGGTAATGTTCAGTTAGACACCGGAAAATATACAAAGCAGACTGGGAACAACAGTTCTTTCATTTTCATACATGGAGCTGCAATCAATCTCCTCAAAAGGAATAATAGAGTAATTAAATCTACATCCTCCATTGTTACAGCACTGCACAACAGTGCACTAATACACTGAGCTTCCTGCACTCTGGAAGTTTCATGAAAGGTTCATTGAGTCCTCAAATTTAAAATGTGCAGCATTAGTTCTGGAAGCTGCTTGAAATTCAACCATAAACTCCCTTACACGCACTATGCAAAAGTCTTTCAAAGTGACAATATTATTTTTCCTAGGACAACATCTTGCATTTTTGTAGTGCCTTACCCCTTGTAAAACATCCCAAGGATCTCCGTGAGCATGGTCAGACAAAAGAAATGACACATCGCAATAGACAGACACATTTCAACAACTGACCAAATTCTTGATCAACTGGGTTCGTAATAAAGAAGATGAAGGGCGAGAGCCAGATTAAACTAGCAAACTAGAAAAAAAAACACCATAAAACCAATTTATTGGGATGCTGGAAATCTGAAATGAAAATGCAAAGTGTTCAAGAAGAGTCAGTCTCGCCATAAATGTTGCCAGAGTGTAAGACCATAGGAAACAGGAACTAGGCCATTTGGCCCCTCAAGCCTGCTCCACCGTTCAATAAGATCATGGCTGATGTGACATTCCTCACGTCCACTTTTCTGTCCTTTCCCCGTAATCCTTGATTCCCCAGCTGATCAAGAATCTATCCCAGCTTTAAATATATACAAGGACTCTGCCTCACAGCTCACTTTGGCAAGGAGTTTCAAAAAAAAGAAGAAACTCCCCCTCATCCCTGTATTAAATTGGTGTTTCTTATTTCTGAGACTATGCCCTTTGGTCCTAGACTCTCCCATGAGGGGAGACATCCCGTGAGAATTTATCCAGTCAGGCCCTTAAGGATCCTAGGAGTATGTTCAGCACTTTTTTTTTATTATTATGCAAAGAAACACAACTTCTATGGAGATTCAGACTCATCCATAATGCTTACAAACTACTATCATACACCAGGTTTGTATAAACGTTCACCCAGCTGAAACCAACACACCGGAATATATCAAATAAAAAAAGGGCATTATTCCCTCTCATCCAGTGGAGGGTCTAAGTTCCACTTCAAAGACTTAAGCACATAATCCAGACTGATATGTCAGTGCGATATTGAGGAAGTGCTGCATTGTCAGAGGTTGCTGACTTTACAATCGGCTGTAAAAGATCCTGTAAAACTTATGTCAAAGGCCAGGCAAATTTGCTAGTTGCTAGCCTATATTTATCCTTCAAGCCAATCAAATTGCAGCAGATTATCTTGTCATTACCACTTGCTGTTTGTCAGCCTGGTCACGAACTTAGTGAATGATGGCCATGATGTGGAGGTGCCGGTGTTGGACTGGGGTGGACAAAATCAGAAGCCTCACAACACCAGGTTACAGTCCAACATGCTTATTTGAAATCACAAGCTTTCGTAGCACTGCTCCTTCGTCAGGTGAGGTGACTTCAAAGCAGCTCTCCAAAAGCTGGTGATTTCAACTAAGCTGTTGGACTATAACCTGGTGCCTTGTGACTTCTTACTGAATGGTGGAGCAGCCAAATGGCCTACTCCTGCTCCTAATTGGATTTTTGGATGTTTGGATAATTTTGCCGTGTTCAGATTGGTTGCTTCATCTCCTCTATTATGGCAGTGACCACAGTTCAAAAGCACATCATTCATTAAATACCAATGTGCTTTCATCCGAGGTTTTAGAGAATTTCAAGTCTGTCTTTCTTTGAAATTAATTAGATATTAACAGATACCAAATGAAGTGACATTTTATGTCAAGTAACATTATTAATTAGTACCAGATTTTAAGTGGATTGATGCTAAGCACCAGAATATTACTGCATACTGAAAAGTGTTACCTTGATGATTAATAATAGTGCATGGATTAATTCTGAATACTTCCTGTAAGAGACTGTAAGGAGAGTTATAAGTTGCAAAATTAGCATTAAATTGTGGAAACCAAACTGCGAGCTAAATGACTGAAACATTTACAAGGATTTGAAACCCAAGATGGAAATCACTGTCTTCAGTTCACTTTGGCCATCTACAATAATATGTAGGAGGACAGAGAAACTGAATCTAAAAATGAGCTCCTTTGAAGCAGTATTTATGGTCACTGACTGCTTTGATGTTCCTGGAGTGTTCACAAAGAAAGATGCACAACCATCCATAACCAGTTTTCATGAGCAGGATATTTTTAGGCAGTGAGTTGGAAGGAAATAAAAAATTAATGGGCTTTATGATTTAATGTAAGAAGTGACTCCAGCTATTATTGACAGCAACAGACAGGGCAGAGTAGATACAGATGCAAGCTGCAAATCAACTCAACTCTCTTGTGAGTTGTGGCTCTAGAATTAAAGTTCTAAGACAAACAAAACCCACACAACCGTTAGTTTTCAACACCTGTTTTTGGTAAAAAAAAACGTCCCTGCCAACCCATTGGCACCCCCGTGCCCCAATTTCAGGGCGATTCCCTTAATGAGCGTTAACCTTCAAAAGCTATTCATTCACGTTAAAATATTATATACTTAGATAAATCACACAGAGCAAATGGCCATTTTTTAAAAGCCAGCAGCTGTTTTATAATAATTACTGTAACAGATGCTGTAAAAATAGCCAATAATACAGATACAAATGACTTCTTTTAAAAGGGCTTAAAAAAACTATGCAAGTAAAGCAATTATCGCGAATTCATCTAACAGGAAATAAAACAGATTAACCAGTCCTGCATACAAAACGTGCTTAGCAAGTTGACAGGGAAGAAAAAGATTTTTTTTTATATGCTGTTGAACTACTCATTAAAAACTACTTTCCAAATTTGAAAATAGATGGGGTAGTTGATACGTCATCTACATGGTACACATGTATCTACGTACAATTATGTGCTTTTAAAATAGCAATGTAAAGCTATATAAATTAGAATAGTTTCTGGTGATATTATGCTTAGCAATAAGCACTTTTCAGCACTCTGAAAGAGAGACAGATCGAAATGTGCGGTCGATGTGACTTAGTAAAAACGAGAGAGTTTGCGCTCCGTGTCTTGAATCCTTACCTTTAGGGAGCAGACAGCGACCAGATCTAGAGTCTCGCACCGAGTCTCCTGTGTGGGCACCTGCGGCTGTTGCTAGTGCCTTGCTGTCTTGCCCGGAGGCAGGGCGATGCTCGAAGGAAGCTGGCTCCCCTCCCGACCTTGCCTTGGGCGCCACAAGTGGCGGCAAAGAAACCTTTAAAGGGACCGAGCTCAGTTTGTGGCTTTCAGCCAGCAACCTCTCCTCTTCCCGCACTCACCAGCAGAGCGGGACAAGATTGCTCACATTCAAATCACTCACAGCAAACAGTCAGAGACAAACAAAACTTCCCTTCCCACTTTTGTACTTTTCAATCCTTCCACTAACTCAAGCAGCAACTATTGGGCAAATAAATACACAAGAAGCAAACTCAGTCACCACACTGGAAAGTCGAGCAATCAAATAGAGCAGAATGATTAACAAAAATGAAAAACAGAATAAGGTAACAAAGAGATGTTTATAAACTAGTATGTTGCCATTATTTCTCACAAATACATTAATAAAAGTTTGATGTGAATAGAAATTCCATCCAAGGTATCAAACATATCTCCAAAAAAATCCTTAACTCTTCCCTTTTTAAAATCGTATTGCAAAGCCAAGGTGCCCAGTAGTCTGGGAACATTGTGGTCTTGTGACAATATCACTGGACTAATTCTGAACAAGAATCACATCAGACTCAAACATTAAGTCTGTTTCTTTTTCCACTGACGCTGCCAGATCTACTGAGCTTCTCTTTGTTTTAAAATCCCTAAGCTAATGATAAGAATAGGGGTTTGAATCACACCACCAGTAGTTGGTGGAATTTAAACTCGGTCAATATACCTGGAATTGTAATCTAGTCTTAACTAAGTTGACCATCAAACCATCAAAACCCATTGAAGGAACAGTGCTGTCCTTGAGTCAACATGATATGACTCTAGACCTACCACAATGTAGTTGACTCTTAACAGCTACTCAGTTCAAGGGCAAGAGGGATCTCCAACAAATGTTGGTTTTGCGGCAATGCCTACATCTTGTGAAAAAACAAACAAATAAAAGTGCTATTGACATATCTTTGGCTCAAACCCTTACTATCCCATACTCAAAACCACCTTTCCTCCCCACCCCTAGCCAATCCAATGTATAAAAATTGTGAGGGGCATAGATGGAGTAAACAGGAAGAAACTTTTTCCCTTGGTGAAAGGATCAATGACCAGGGAATATGGATTTAAGGATTTCCAGAAGGCTACTACAAGGTGCTGCACAGAACGTTGCTAAATAGATAAGAGCCCATGGTGTTAGGGGCAAGGTACTGGCATGATAGAGGATTGGCTGACTGGCAGAAGGCAGAGAGTAGAGATAAATGGGTCTTTTTCAGGATGGCAGCCAGTGATTAGTGGAGTTCTGCAGGGATCAGCATTGCGATCACAACAATTCACATTATTCACCAATGATCTTGATGAAGGAACTGAGGGCATTGTTGCTAAGTTTGCAGACGTGCAGATGACACAAAGATAGGTGGAGGGACAGGTAGTGTTGAAGAAGCAGAAGGCTGCAGAAGGACTTGGAGAGCTTAGGAGAGTGGGCAAAGAGGTGGCGGATAAAAAAAATGCAGTGAAATGTGAGGTTATGCACTTTGGTAAGAAGAATAGACATGTAGACTATTTTCTAAATAGAAAAATGCTTCAGAAATCTGAAGCACAAAGGGACTTGGGAATCCCAGTCCAGGATTCTCTTAAGGTTAACATGCAGGTTCAGATGGCAGTTAGTAAGGTAAATGCAATGTTGGCATTCATTTCAAGAGGGTTAGAACACAAGAGAAGAATGTACTGCATGCGGTGTATAAGGCTCTGGTCAGTCCGCATTTGGAATATTGTGAGCAGTTTTGGGTCCTGCACCTAAGGAGGGATGTGCTGGTGTTGGACGAGTTGCAGAGGAGGTTTATGAGAATGATCCCGGGGATGAAGGGCTTGTCATATGAGGAGCAGTTGAGGGCTTTGGATCTGTACCTGATGGAATTTAGAAGGATGGGGGACCTCATTGAAACTTACTGAATACTGAGAGAGCTGGATAAAGTGGACATGGACACAGTATTTCCACTAGTAGAAGAGACCATGACTCAAGGGCACAGCCTCAGAGTGAAGGGATGACCCTTTAGAATTGAGATGAAGGGGAATCTTTTCAGCCAAAGGGTGATGAATCCGTGGAACTCATTGCCACAGTATGCTGTGGAGGCCAAGTCACTGAGCGTATTTAAGACAGAGATAGATAGGTCCTTGATTAGTAAGGGGATCAAAGGTTACAGGGAGAAGGCAGGAGAATGGGATTGGGAAACGTAACAGGCATATTCAAATGACAGTGCAGACTCAATGGGCCGAAGGGCCTAATTCAGCTTCTATATCTTATGGTCTTATAGTAAGGGGCAGGGGGTTTAAGAGGGGATGTAGGAATTTTTTTTTTCCACAGAGTGGTGGGAATCTGGAACTCACTGCCTGTAAGGTGGCAGTGGTAGACACCTTAAGAGTGGTAGAGGCAGAAGCCCTCATAACAGCAACAAAGTGCCAAAAATGGGATTAGAAGAGTTAGGTTTTTGACTGGGTGAAGGGCCTTGTTTTCTCTGCTGTAGGCTGCTATGACTCCACTGTAGATGTTAGAAATCCTCAGCCTTTCTAAGGAACTTCTGTGAAGAGAGAAGCAAAGTTTAACAGGTGTGTTCTTCAGATCATGCAGAGGTCAGGAACGGGACATGGCCAGCATGTCAGCTTCCCTCATCCCACTCCCAGTGCCAGCATTCTGACTGTGACGGGATCAGGTACAGTGAGGCTGATCATCCCCGAGAGAATGGCAGCTCAGTAAGCTCATTAAGAGTCTTGAAAAAAAAACAAGAGACTAGCAGAATTTTCCAAGCAGCCTCCAGATTCCCAATGTGGCACGGATCCAAATTAATTCAGAGATTTTAGACGGGCACCATTCTGCAAACTGCTGTGCCAGTAGATAGGCCGATGGTCCTCCCTGCCAATGCCATTGCAGCTGAAAGTGACATTCCAGACGTGATTAACCACCCTCCCCCTTTAGATCTTGAAGGTAATGGTTAGATTGCTTTATGCTTATTCATTAAAGGCTTTAAAAAGCAACTGGGGAGGCAGCCTCTTTTTGATAAACCCTCTCTGTCTTTTAGCTTTTACTGCAACAGTGAGATTGAGACTGCAAGGCCTCTGTTGTCCTTACAGGTTTGAGAGCCTGTCACTATTATGAATTGGACCCATGTCAATGTCACATTCAAATTCCCAAAGAATTACTGTATTCCCTATCCTCACTTTCAAGCAAAGAAACATTCCTGGTTCCAGTTCCCTCCCTGTGAAGCACCCAGCCTGTCAGGTTCTTTCCATTCCGATTAAAAACCTGAGGAAAGGTTATTGATCTCGAACACTAAATCTGTCTCTCACCCCACAGATGCTGCCTGACCTGCTCAGTGCTTTTAGGACTATTGGTTTTTATTTCCCATTAATCATAGGATCTTTACAGTGAGGAAGAAGGCCATTTGGCCCATCAAGTCCACACTGACCCTCTGAAGGGCATCCCACCCAGATCCACACCCTATCCCTGCATTTCCCCTGGCTAATCCACCTAGCCTGCACACTACAGGCAATTGAGCATGGCCAATCCATCTAACCTGCACATCTTTCGACTGTGGGAGACAACTGGAGCATTTTGGGAAACCCAGGTAGGCAAGGGAAAATTTGTAAACTCCACAATTACAGTCACCCAAGGGTGGAATCAAACCCGGCCCCTTGGCACTGTGAGGTAGCAATGCTAACCACTGAGCCACCATGCCTCCTGAACAAATCTCACTGCAATTTCAGTCCTCAGATCAGCTGTCAACATCACAAAATCACCACAGACGTCTACTAAATCCACTATCAAAAGCTAACCCAATTGTGGCAAATAACCATTTGCTTAATATTGTGGTTGTTAATTTGTGTTGAACAATAATTGTTGTTAAAAACCCACCTGGTCATTTCTGCCCTTTGGGGAAGAAATTTGCCTTCCTTCCCTGATCTGGCCTACGTGTGACTCCAGACTCATTGAAATGTGGTTGGCCCTTAACTGCCCTCTCAGCAATGAACGTTAGCCTAGCTTGTGATGCCTCCATCCCATGAATGAATAAAAAAGTCACAATGTCCATTTGCTCTATAGCCCTTGATTCTATGAGTCAGCACAAATTTATCAACCTCAATTTTAAGCAATTGAGAAGTATCATCCAACTTTCCCGAAAGAGGAGTGGACCCTTAATGACAGCCTGGAATTTCCACTTGGTAAAACTTTCAAATGCCAAACCCATTTTGGAAGTAATGATGTATTCAGCCCTGCCCATTGGTCACAGAATGCTTCTAATGTACTGAATGCAAGGTCACCTGCATTCATATTAAAGAGATCTTCCCCAGCAACTTGGCTTAACCTGGATCTACATTTGAAAGATGGCACTGGACACAGGAGCTCATTGCCCAGTAAGTCATTAGAATTGTTGGCCTTAAATCCTTTCCAAATGTTAGCATCCTTCTTTAATCTCTCTTTTTTGCCTTTGCACATATTGGTCAATCATTGAATATTTTGTTTCAGCAACGACAGCCCGCTTCAAAGGGAAAACTGTCTGCCAAGAGTTGTTGAGCTGGCACTGGTGGCCTTTCAGCAATATAGATGGTCAGTTGATTAAATAGCAGCTGCAATGATCTGCAAAGAAGCCAAAAGGAATCACAACAAGAGATTAGTGATGGAGAGGTAAACAAACTGAAGGGCTGTTGTGCTTTGCCAAAGCTGGACTGTAGCTCAGCCCTAGGCATTTAGCATGTGGAAATTTCCAGCCCAGAGTAACAGATGCTTCCCATGTATTTAATGTGATTAATTGTGTCTGGCAAAAAAAAACACTATAGACCTTGCTAAAAAATACCTTAATTGTTGTGGTGCATGAAGCAGACAACAAGAAGATTACATCCAGTACAGCTCCTATGGAGCAAGCCAAGCTGTAAATATCCTTCTAAAGTCAAAAATG